ATAAAATGAAAAATATACGAAATAATATACATGTACTGATTTCTTTCGAAAATCGACAACTATGAAACTATGAACCCTTCCCGGATATAAACGGTACATTGTGAGACAGGAAACTGTAGAGAGAAACAAGCTTTTAGGATACATTTTAATGAACAGTGCTTTTCATAAAATCAATAAAATGAAAAATATACGAAATAATATACATGTACTGATTTCTTTCGAAAATCGACAACTATGAAACTATGAACCCTTCCCGGCCACAAACGGTACATTGTGAGACAGGAAATTGTAGAGAGAAACAAGCTTTTAGGATACATTTTAATGAACAGTGCTTTTCATAAAATCAATAAAATGAAAAATATACGAAATAATATACATGTACTGATTTCTTTCGAAAATCGACAACTATGAAACTATGAACCCTTCCCGGACACAAACGATACATTGTGAGACAGGAAATTGTAGAGAGAAACAAGCTTTATAACATAGGATACATTTTAATGAACAGTGCTTTCCATAAAATCAATAAAATGAAAAATATACGAACTAATATACATGTACTGATTTCTTTCGAAAATCGACAACTATATGAAAATATGAACCCTTCCCGGACACAAACGGTACATTGTGAGACAGGAAATTGTAGAGAGAAACAAGCTCTATAACATAGAATACAACATTTTAATGAACAGTGCTTTCCATCAAATCAATAAAATGAAAAATATACGAAATAATATACATGTACTGATTTCTTTCGAAAATCGACAACTATGAAGCTATGAACCCTTCCCGGACATAAACGGTACATTGTGAGACAGGAAATTGTAGAGAGAAACAAGCTTTATAACATAGGATACATTTTAATGAACAGTGCTTTCCATTAAATCAATAAAATGAAAAATATACGAAATAATATACATGTACTGATTTCTTTCGAAAGTCGACAACTATGAAACTATGAACCCTTCCCGGACACAAACGGTACATTGTGAGACAGGAAATTGTAGAGAGAAACAAGCTCTATAACATAGGATACAACATTTTAATGAACAGTGCTTTCCATAAAATCAATAAAATGAATTTAAAAATCGCACCCTCGATTACATAACTAATATATACATATACACATTTTATTTAAAATTGGTGGATGCACCAAAACTTTTTTCCTATCGTAAAATTGAAAAAATCTGACAACACTGTCCTCCACTCTCATCTTATCTCCCGCTCCTCCGCCTCCTTGTTCTTTTTACCCACTCCTATTTCAAGAACCGTTCTCCCATTTAAACTCGGAACATTCAAGCTCGGTGTCGCCGCATGGCTGCCAGCGCCGGCCGACCGGCAAATGGCGACGTTGCCGATTCGTATGCCATTCGGCAAGCAGCCTGCCACAGATTGGACTACCTCGCGATAGGACAAGGCGGAGAAAGTGCGCCATGTTGCGGCGTGTTTACTGTAGCGGTGAATTTTTGTACTACTGAGACTATACCTAATGTGTGAGCCTGAGTCTCTTCTTTAGTGAGTCTCTTTTTAGGGTTCTTGGTCTTTTTTTCTGAAATCTTGCCCTGTACAATGAGTCTTTTCCTACAATCAGTATCCCTCCTCATAACGTGACCGAAATAGTTTAAATAAATGTGACTGTATAGAAGTTGAGAGACTTTCTACGATGTTCAGTTCCTAGATTATGGAGTCATTGGTTCGTCAGGCAGTCCAGGGAATTCTGAGCATTCGTCACCAGTAGTCTGTCTCAGTTGAGTCATTTGTGATCTCATCGTCCAGGACTCACAGCCATACATTAATATAGGAAATATCAGGCAGTGAACAAGACTCTTTTGTAAGTGTTTTGATATGCATTTGTCTCTCTGTATCTTTGAGACTTTTTGCACTGCCACCCTTGTCATTTCACATCTTATTTCCCCTTCTAACGATCCTGTGTTGTTGATGACATTGACTGACAACCTCAAAACGACCAATTGTCTGTGGATAAATTATTCTTAAATTAAAGATGTTGACTTAATATATCTTCAGGCTGTCTGAGATGACGAATTATTTTTTATAAACTTACTATTTATGAATTATACATTACATCTGTTTTTTTTTGAGTGGGCAGTAAACAATAAAATACATCTTGCAAATTCTCAATACCAACCATCTAAAAAAATAATGATTACTACATTGCCTTAGTTGGTTTCTTGCTTATTTCTATGTATGGGTAATTATCGTTATGTACATTATACTAATTTGCACTTATTTTGTCCAAGGTTTATGTTAATGTAATTATAAATAATTTCCTAGCCTATATACAATATATTTCAAGTAAATTCCACTGTATAATTTATTATCGAAATTGAAGAATATTTAAAAATAAACATACGATAATTATTTGTAATTTAGATATAAAAAATAGCCAGTGGGCAGAATTAAATAAATTGTATTAGTTTATTGGGTTATACACAGAGAAAACACATCGTATCTACCTACAAAGATTATATCATTACACAAAATATACAGTACTTTCTCCATTCCTCGACTATATCAGTTTTTGAATCAATGTCTATTAAGCTTTTATTGTTCTTGAAGGGATTTTACTTTCATGTTTACTTTAATATATCACTTCATATTTTTTAACAAGAAGGAATCATGCCCTAAAATCTAGTCGTACTCCTTTGAACATCCTGTAGAAACTTTCTCTTATAATGGACCCTGAAAACGAGGCACTGCTTAACGGCATCAAACAGTTGTTACGATTATGTCTTGGGGCCACTGTAAAATCGGACTATAACAATATTTCAACGGGGTATTCGATCCAAGCGCTATAAATAATCCCTTAAGAGCTGGCAGGACCCAGTTTTAAATCCAATTTCCCTGAGTAACCCGGGTCATTAGACCTTTTTAGGGTTTCGAAGGAGATTGTTGAAAGCGAGAAGTGTTGAAATAAATTTCCAAAGCCTGAGGCTCCCTTTTCAAAGCCTCAGATATCCAGAATAAGTTATATGTATTTTGATAGCAATGTAACTCAAATTATTGATTAGAGAAGAATCATAAATTTGTGTACAGTGCTGGTGATAATTTACAGTAACTATTAGCTGATCTTAAAGATAAAATACCTCTACTGGAAAGGTTGGGTATCCCTGCAACAAGTTATCCCTGCTATTTTCTGAATATCATGGTCCCATCTCAGGTTTGGACTTCTTCCAGGTCTGTTAATTCCTCTTGGGTTCCACGTTGTAATTTTTGTGTTCGTCCTTCTTGCCACTGGAGGGATTTGATTTTGTTGATGACATGTATTATCTGGGTCTTTTGTCGTATCCACTGTATTTTTTTACGGTCTTTCTTGCTTATTCCCAGCATATTTCGTTCAATTTAGCGTTGTGCGACCTGTAGTTCCCTTATAATGTCCTTTTTAAGTGTCCAGGTTTCGCATGCATAGGTCATGACTGGTAGCACATTTGTCGAATGGTTTCTTCTTTAGATAAAGTGGCATTCTAGCTTTGAGTTTCTCCCATAGGTACTCCATTCTTCTATTTATTTCAAATATTCTTCTATTATTTCCAGTGTATTATTTATTAGCATTTATATTATTACACAATTATTAGTAATAAACGATTTCAAAATACTTCAGCTCAAAAAATATCTTCCCTAAAAACACAAGAAATCAATAAGCAAGAATACCTTCATGATCGTTGCTACAAGAACCCTTATTACTAGACGTACCCTACTCTAAAAAAGGTAAACAGCTGTTAAAATCTCAGATAATATTGAACTTTTTCATACCAAGTGACCTCACTTATTAGCAATAAACCACTCCAAAGCACTGCAACAATTACCCAACTCAGGTATAGAAGCAAAAAAGAAAACTCTCCAAAGTAGGGTCATAATAAATTTGTCATGACTATTGTCCGAAGATATTCAGAAGCAATGAACGGTTTTGAATGAAAATTATTAGGGAAATAAAACGCAATCATAAAATTTTATGGTGCTGTTGAAAAATAGTACTACGCAAACCACAACAGGTGGAGACGCTGTACGTTACGAGTCGGTAAAACGATTAGGACAAATTTGGAGTAAGGCAGATGGTTCTATAATATTGTTTGTTTATTTTATTAACAATTTACTTGCTAAAGAATGTTCTTCCAGTGGCTCCAATTTCAATGAATCCTGAATTGAATTTTGAATGAAAAAATTCTCAAAAACATTATAATAAAGTTATTTAATAGGTATATGTTTGTCATAAAATAAAATAATTAAAGAATTTTAAAAGTAATTCAAGTCATTTTAAGTCAAAGAAATCAACCATAGTCACGAAACGGGAAAACTCACACAAACGAAAAAAAATAACACTCTCCAGCCTTAAAACCGTTCTCTCTCGCACACACAGTCCCACGTCCACATCTCAATCGGGCCCACTTATCCCCGGTCCGACCTAATCACCGACCCACCTCCCTACGTCGTTCGCGTAGGTCTCTGCTTGAAAGGCCGCGACCACGCGCTTTCCCAGCTTCGCGATGCCGTCGCTAGATCGCACGCGCGTCGCTCCTCGGCGGAAAGCGGCTTTCCGTCCGCGCCGGCCAGTGTACGTGTGTGACTTCGCGTGCGAGTCGCGACGACAGACTTCCCGAGGCACGACAGTCGACACACGCACGCCGCTACGTACGCGTCACGTTACACAGAGCGCTCGCTACTCGACTTTACGCGATTCTTGCGGTCCTTCGAGCGCGATTTTTTTTTGAACCAAAAAAAAATTGACTGGATTTTTTGGATATACTCGTTACAGTTTCGAATTTAGATGTGTTTAAAGTCCTCTAAACTGATCTGGATGTTTTCTGAATTTTTTTCATAACTCCCTCACCCACGGACCTGGACTGCTGCGACCTGCCGTGCCCTGTGCCATACCAACGACGTCATTTTCGACACGACCATCGTCGCCACCATCGCGGACCCCGTGGCGTGCGCCGCGCCCACCCTGTACGACCATGTGGTGCATCCGCCTGGACCCTCGCCAGCCTCCGCCGCGGGTACCTCCACCGGGGTGACCTGGTGGTCGATGATGAACGGCGGATTGTACGAGGAGAGTCCGCCGCCAGCACCGCAAGCGGCCGCCACGCCGAGCGGTACCACCAGCGGGGGCATGACCAGTCCCCCGGCGGCGGCACCCCCGACGACTTCGGCCACCAGCAGCTCCTCGCCGGCTAGCGTGACCAGCAACAGCGGTTCCGCCGGGCCTCTGCACATTCCCGCCAAAAGACTGACCACTTCGGGGGGTTACGGGGAGTGTACCCCCGATGGGAGCGTGATCAGGCACAGCCAGAACCACTGGTCGTCGTATTCGCCATCGGAAAACCCCCATGCAGGTTCCACGGCGTTTGAACTTAACCACCAGTACAGTAATCCCACGTACTGTAATATACCTTCGGATCCGAACGGTACCCGAGATTACAAACCTCCGATTCCGTTCTGGTCACCGGCAGCTACAGCCTCGGCCGCTCCAGCAGACTACAAGTACCAGCGGGGTGGTACGGGAGGTGACCCTTCAGTACCATCGTCCTGTCACCAAACCTTCGGTAGCGGATCATGGTGTGGAGTTTATAACTCTCCCTATCCCGGAGCCAGCAGGCATCACGTAGATGGTCCCTATTTAACCCCCACGGAAGACAGAGGAAGAGTACCTGCATTAGAAGGTGGTTTTCCACACCACGACAGAGGGTATGGCTTGGGAAACTACGTAGCTCCCGAACCAGTAGCTTCAACTCCATATCCACCACCAGGTAAGCCACAAACTCATGCTATTTTAAAATTAAAACGAAATTTTTTTATATATTATCGATAATAATTAATACAAAAACAAAGTGGCAATTAATAGGAATGTCACTCGCGTAATTTATGTGTTGTCCTTTATACGCATCTCTCTTGAGCGTGGTTGATTTGACTGACACGCGATAGATGGCACTAGCGACATAAAAATGGGAAAAGTCTAAGCAAAGGGGGATCGAAACTCGAAACATATTTAGGTATATCTCGTCTGTTTTCTGTTTGCTTTTGTATAGTAGAGCAGTTGGTTTATATAATCGTTGAGTTTCTACTGTTATTCCTTAATATTTTTATTTATTTTTGAATAAGAATTATAAAAGACGATTTTCTAGGGTTTATTTAGTTTAAACAGTGCAAAAAGTATAAAACAGTAATTTATAATATCATATTTGTTGAAATAGGTTAAACCATAAGAATTTTAAACTTAATTCCTCTCTCTAGATTTTTTTATAGACACATTTATTTCATCTTTACTTTTATTTATTTCTTCACCATCCAAAATGTTTGCTGTTTTGTTGACAATTTCAAAATTTCAGCTAATCTACTATTAAATTGTTGATCTTGTAGTTCTTTTGTGTCTTTTTTAAAGCTAACTAAGTGTATATTTAATGTCTTCTCAATTACTTTTTTAATTCTGTCAATTTTATTAGGAACAATAATAAAACAAGGTACTTCTTGATTAACTTTCAGATCTTCAAATTTTGATTTAATATCATTTTGATAATAGTTATTTTTTATACAAAGTCGACCGAAAAGATTGAATTAATTTCGGGAGACATTGCAATTTTATCGTCGTGTACAAAACAATATTTTTTTCCATAGCGAGTTACGTTTTAAAAAATATTCAGAAATTATTATTTCAAGGAATTTATTACGATTAGAAAAAATATTCTGCTGGGTTGGCGTTGGTTTGTATGTAATTTGACAAATAAATAAAGCTGTCTCTTTAGTTGTCAGTTTTGAGTCAATATTTTTTAATTCTCTTTAGTGTCGATTGCTGATTGAATTGGCACCAGAAATGGCTCAAAGCGAAATAAGTAAATTACCAACAGATATTCAGGCTGAGGCGACAAACGCCATATCCAAACTACTTCCATTTAAATCCCGAATAACTTATGAAAAGGAATACAAAAATTTTCAAAAATGAAAGCAATTAAAAAACGTGCGAGAAGAAATAACGTTTTTAACCTATCCTCGCTGTTAAAGTATCATTTAATCTACCCTTGAGGTTAAAGTACTATTTTATCTACTATTTTTGATAGATATAAGGCAATAATAAAACTCTTTAATTTATTCCAATTCTGTATTTAAATTATTATTTTTTTCTTATATTATCACTAAATTCTATTGATTTGACATTCTTTAAACAGGCTAAGGTTAATGAATTTTAATTCAAAATGAATTATTATGTTACATAATACTTCAGGTAATGATTGCCAAGTAATTATAAAAATGGAAATATATTTTTATGACCATAACATCATATCAGCCTCACTATGTTTAAACAACTACTATTTCAATTTGAATTGACGCATTTTGCACAACAAATTATTACAAAATATATGAGATAATATAATTTATTCTGTTTTAAAATGGGGGTACTTTAATCAGTAAATTTGTATTTAAATTTAATTAGAAAAATGTGATAAATTTAACAGGCTAGACAGAGTGTTATATTTCGTAATAGTTGTTTTCTTTTTCTTACAGCGAACAAGAAATTAATATTATTTATAAGTATACACATTATGTTTATAAAGATTTCTTTGAAGCTCATTTCAATTATATTGATAACACGAATGACACAATATTAATCGGATTTGTTCCGAGAAAGCCACCGACTTCTCGCTGTTTAAATTATTGTAACATTTTTATTAGCGCTTTGTTTATAGTTGTTAACAATAAACTAGGAACGTTAAAAATCTCCAGTACTATAAATCAGCCAGAAATGTCGAATAAGTATACAAAAATAGTGTCATAATTAGGTTCAGTCAACTGAAGAGGATTCGCCGGCGTAGTTTATGGCTCTTAGGTCAGTTTTATGGGCTAGTAAAAGTGTTTTATATAACTGCAACGTCACGACGGTCATTGCTAAGCTATAACTGACTGGACCCCTTTAAATATTTTATCGTATACAACGACGACTGATTGTTATTCATTCGCCGAATTTTTTTCGCTGTGTTGTATCAAATTATTTCCGTTAGCGGAATTTTTATATCTGTCGTTACACGTGACGTGTAAATAATAATAAATTTTTATTTGCGATTTGATGTTCTTATCGGGCTAAATAATTCAAATTGCATACCGAAATTATTGTTTGTTTATTTTTTTGACAGATAAAATGTTCTATTTGTTGTTGCGGAATTTCTTTGTGTATGGTTTTAGTTTGCCACTATGTAGTGATAAAGGATTCCTAATCAAAATAGTACAAGTTAAATAAAATTATTGTATGAACTATATTTTCATGTATTTCTTATTTATTTTTTATTTTCTCTAAAACGGTATGGAAACTTGGAAAAGTATAAACGGGATTAACCGTTTTAGAACAAGCAAAACTTTTTATTAAGAATGCATTTTTCTTAAAATATCAATAATAAAAAAGTGTTTTCTCTTGTAAAGACAATCCGATACTGTATATTTTCAATGTGAAATAAGGAATAGGTTAAACATAGATAAAAAAATAATAATAAAATATAAGAAAAAAATCTATACTAATATATAAAATCCTTCAGTGACTGACATACTGATTAATCACGATCCTGCTCAAACCACTCAACGTAAGAAGCTCAATTTTGGCATACAGGTTGATTCTAGGGTGTATAGGTTCGGTAAGAAGGGATTTTTCGAAATTCCAGTTCCAAGAGGGTGAAACCACCCCTCAAATATTACAATATTTTTTATTTAAAAAACGGTCAAGTTTCCGAAAAAACGCTTAAACACGTATATTTTATTTTGTTTTTTACATATTTTAAGATTTTTAAAAATGTGTACAGGGTGTTTCGAAAAATCTGGTCATTGATTAATCACGATCCTGCTTAAAGCGCTTGACGTAAAAAGCTGATTTTTGGAAAACAGATTGACTTTAGGGTGTAGAGATTCGATAAGAAGGGATTTTTCGAAACTCGAATTCTAAGGGGGTGAAACTATCCCTCAAATATTAAAATATTTTTTACTTAAAAACCGGTGAGTTTTTCGGAAAAACCCTTAAACACGTATATTTTATTTTGTTGTTTTACATATTTTAAGATTTTTTAAATTTCTATGTTAAAACATAGACAAAAGAAATAATAATAAAATAAAAGAAAAAAAAATAATTAAAAAAAATATATATATAAAAGATAAAAATAAAATATTTTATATTTGTTACTTATAAGTGTTTTAGGATCTAGGCAATAATATTTAATTTTCTTTATTATATATTTAGTTAAAATTATAGGAAAAACCGTCAAGAAGCATTATTTTAAGCAAATTCTAAAAAAAATATATAGAAATTTTAAAATTTTAACTTTTATCATGTTTATATTTATAGCAAATAAGTTTTACTTGTTACTAGCAAATTATTTTAACTTGTTGTTTCACTTTATGTCGCGATGCATTAAACGAACATGCAGTTAAAGTTTGTTTTCCCATTCTATGCGTAGGGTGCCAAATTTATTATGCCTGATAAATTTCTAGATATTTGGCAACGTCTCAAACGAGCCACGGCGGTTTCAGATGTGTGTTTGTTATTAGTTACATAGTCACGCTTGTTTGGCATCGATTTTCTATGGATTCTTGAAAGATTTTAGAGAAAAAAAAGGGAACAATGCTTGTTTTTTTAAATTTAAATATATAATTTTTATGTTTTTTTGGAAGATCTAAAGACGAATTGAAGAAGGGGAGAAATAAATAAATAAAATTATTTTTTCGAAATTTCAGAGAAACGGTAAGGATTAGAAAAAAAAGTTCAGATAAAAGTTATAGAGCGTCCAATTCTACAAAAAAATGGTCTCTATACTTTTTTTGCTCAAATCAAAATTAACCAAGATAGGGTGGCTAGAAGCTAGAGGATAGTTTTTATTGAAACATTTTTTCAAAGTCCTTTAAAAAAACACTTTATTTTTATTTTTCACCTCTTCTCGGTGTGAATTTAAAGAAATCTTAATTGAAATTTATAATTTTTCATGCAAATTGAATAAAAATGCTAAATATATGTATTTTTTAGCAACTTATAATTTTTTTTAAATCTACTATCATCCTCAAATTTCTAGCTACCCTATCTCGGTTAATTTTCATCTGACCAAAAAAAGTATAGAAATCATTTCTATGTAAAATTTGATGCTCCACAACTTTTACTTGAACTTTTTTTTTCTAGTCCTTACAGTTTCTCCGAAATTTCGAAAAAATAATTTTATTTATTTACTTCGTATTAGTAATTTTTGTGATAGTTTATTTAAATTTTTATTATAGTGTATTTTGAGATGGAACAGTTACTTATTACGAAATCTTATATATTTATGTTTTATTTAGTTTATTATTGCTTATTTAAGGCTAAGAAAAAAGAAAAAAAAGTCAGAAAAACTCGAGTCAAGAACTGGCAACATTGATTCTTGCGCTTCTACGCCTTGCGGTTGATTTACTGTAGTGTGAGTGCAGTAACTGTACTGGCCTTCATTACAGGAATATTTATACACTGTACATAAATAATGTTAATTCTGCTTTACAATTCACCAAGATTATTATGTTAAATGATTTTCTAAGAACTACAACTGATAAAAGTAAATATAACTTAAATATATTTCTTCCTTTTTATCTACTAACGGTTGTTTTTTTTTTGACAAAAAAATCGTGCTTGAATAAAACATGTACCGCGTGATGAATACGAAAAACGATAAATAAAATATCATCTTTTTATTTGGCATAAAAAATTATTTGAAAATTTTCAAAGAACTAAGAACATAAAATTAAAATGATAGACTTAATTTCTTATTGTTTACTGAAAGCTAGCTGCTAATGGCAACAGCGAGCCGAACCTTTTCACCCTAAAGGCTGCGTTGGTTTAACGACCCTACGGCATAATATCTCACGTTGATGCGTGACGTCACATCAATAGCCCGTCACATGATGGGATCGAACAGCTGACTGTCGTATGGCACGCAGTTTGCACAGCTTGCTTGACGGCTCGTGAATTCTTGTTGTTATCATTTGACTATAAAAATACCTAGGTATTATTTTTTTTTATAAATTGTGCTCAAAACTATATGAAACGTTGTTATTGTCTATTGCCTCTATTCGTATTACCACAGTATTACATTCATAATTTTTATTCAGAATGAGATGATCAATATAATGAGATACCATCATCATGAAATTCAAATATCTTGGTATAGAGTTATCCGGTTATGGCGATGTCGAAACAGAGGTAAGACAACAAACAACAAAAGCAATGAGAGTGGCTGGATGTCTGAACGACACCATATGGAAAAATAAATACATAGGTGTCGAGGTCAAGTCAAGAATATACAATGCTGTCGATAGACCCATAATGACCTCATCATCATCATCATCATCATCACGCAGTCCCCTTTCACGTCCATAGTTGAACATAAGCCTTCTCCAAACGTCTCCAGTTCTCGCGGTTTTTAGCTGTTGCAATCCAGTTAGTTGTTATTCGTTTCAGGTCGTCGGTCCATCGGGTGGGAAGTCTGCCTTGGCTACGCTTGTCGGCTCTTGGTCTCCACTCTATAAGTCTTTTGGTCCATCTCCCGTCTGCCATTCTAGCAATGTGTCCAGCCCATCTCCACTTTTGTTTTGTGATCCGCTGGATAATGTCATCCACTCCCGTACGTCGGCGTATCTCTTCATTTCTTACTCGATCTCTCAAAGTCAGGCCAATCATAGATCTCTCCATCCGCCTCTGTGTCACTCTCAATTTTTTCTGCGGTTGCTTTTGTTAAAGTGAGTGTCTCTGCGCCATAGGTCAAAACCGGGAGGATACATTGGTTAAATGCCTTTCTTTTGAAGTGTATTGGGATATTTGCTCTAAAGATGTCCCTCATTTTTCCGTAAGCCGCCCATCCCAAGGTAATTCGTCTAACCAGTTCACAGGTTTGGTTATCTCTGCTTATTTTGATCTCATGGCCCAAGTATACATAAAGACAGAAACCAGACCGGATACAGCAAAAACAGAAAGATTCTTGGAAACAGGCGAGATGAAAATCCTCCGCAAAATCACAAGTAAAAAGACAAACATGCAAGGTGGATAGCATTAATTAATAGGTATTGAGCAGAAGACGCGAATGGAATTAACGTATAAGCCGAATGGACGAGGGAAGAATAGTAAGGTCTGCTCGAGACAAATCACTACTGGGAAGAAGTACGGAAAGGCCAAGAAAAAGATGGTGTGATAACCTTACCATCGATTGAAACTGTAGGCATGATGTGAAGAATGAACAGGCAATCTGCCTAATATAGAGTAGGAAGAAGCAGAAGAAGAAGAATTTTTGCTTATAATCCTTTAGGACTATTGGCAATTAGAACTATGTCATCAGCGAATTTTAGATGGTTAATATATTCCCCATCTATTTCCAATCTTTTTTGGGTCCAGTCTAGTTGACGGAAGATTTCGTGTAGTGATACGCGAGCGCGTGAGATCCGTGTATTTGTATCCATCTCTTTATTAGAGTACTCTACAATACACAGAGAGAAAAAAATATATAACTCACATAAATTAAATGGACCATAATACAGGCATTTACCAACCATTTAAACTAAATGTTTACACGTTTAGATTGTTTTATGATTCCGTAATTAATAAATCAAATATGTGATTTTTACTAGGCAATATTCTAGTCGTAAAAATTTTAGTTCCTGTTTTATTGGGTGTGATTTATTGGCTCGTATGCAAATGGCAATCATAAAAGTGTTCCTAATTTGTTAATGATGTTTACCAATTAGCTACTATGAAATTAAGTAAATATCATTTAAGAAAATGGACAATTTGTATGTAAACTTATATAGGGTGATTCACCGGAACCAGTGATAGAATTTTCTTGAAAATTTGCATTTTTATATAAAGGCCCCTGCTCCATCTATCTAAAATATTTTCAGCGTTACAATCTTGCTGCATCATTTGAAAAGCGGTAGCATCTTTATAATTTTAAACGGAACACCAGGTATATTATTACAATTTTGGAAACTACTTTTATATGTTATAATTTTTTTATTATACTAACCTATACTTATCTCTAATATTTTTTCTTTTTCTTCGCACGGGTTCTACAGCTTTTCGACGATCCCGCATTTCGACCTCCATATTGCTCGATTTTGCCATTCTTCCTGTTTAGTAGCTCTGTCTCTCATGTACTGGTCTACTGCATCTAACCACGTAGTTGTAGGTCTCCCTCTTTTCCTTCTGCTTTGAAGACGATACTCCATTGCCCTTTTTGGCCATCTTTCCCCTCCCATTCTTTTTCGTGCCCATACCATAGTAGCTGTCTCGATTTGATGTTGTCGGTGCTGGTATATATTCCCCTTGTTCCTTGCCTGATCTCCTCATTTCTAATGTGCTCCATCCTTGATATTCGACATGCTCTTCTGAGAAAGTCCATCTCCACTGACTCGACCATCCCTCTTTCTTCTGCGGTAAATTGCCAGCATTCGGCACCGTATGATAAAATTGGCTCTACGATTGCTTTGTAAATCCTTAGTTTTGTTTGGATGGATGTTTTGTTTGACCACAGGAGAGGGTTTAAACGACCGATTACTTTCTTACCTTGTTGAACTCTGCTATGTATATCTTTCTTGAAGTTCCCTTCTTCAGATATAATACTTCCTAAATATTTATATTCGCTACACCTTATATTTCATGTATGTGTAGTTCAGGATCTTCAGTTTGTTCTTCTCCTACTTTCAGGTATTCGGTTTTTGTGAAGTTGATATTGAGTCCCCATCTATCGTATTCTTCGTCAAGTTTCCTGAACATATAGTCGGCATCCTCCTCACAACCTGCAACAATAACTTGGTCGTCTGCAAAGAACAAGGTCGATAGACAGTGGTTGTCAATCTCTATTCGCATAGCTCTACTCTTCCTTCTCCAGTTTTTCAATGCCTCCTGGATATATATTTTAAATAAGGTAGGTGATAAACTGCACCCCCGTCTGAGTCCTTTTGATGTCAGGAAGGATTCCGATAGGAACTTCCCCTGTCTGATCATACTTTTTGGATTTTTGTACATATTCCAGATTGCATTGATGTATGTTTTACTCACATTTGACTCAACCAAGATTTCAAATAATTTCTTCAAAGGCACCGTGTCATAGGCTTTCTCTAAATCTATAAATACCAGATGCGTGTCCAAATTTCGAGCTAATATTTTTTGAGATAATCATATAATATGCAATCATATAATAAATCATATAATATGCAAAATTGACAAATCATGAATTGAACGTTTTAAAAGATACATTTTTTTTGCTGCAATATTTTAGAAAATAAGTGGTAAACTTTCATTTTATCTACCTAAGAAAAATGTTGTTTTATTTTTATGATGGATATTTAATCAATAGAATCTGTGAAACTAATTTATTTGTTAGTGTTTTAGTAATAAAATATAAATCTTCCTTATTCAGTTTTTTTAAAAGAAACATACAGTACGTCTGTACGTTCTGTGGCTACGGGGTATCCGTGACAGTGGAAACGATATTCTCTGGATGTTTTTCGTAAAAAATTAGACGACACGTCGCATCAATAAAAATTCGACAAATTTGCAAGTAGCCAATAAAATGAGTGGGCGGAGCGATTTGCGGTGACGTATTCGTCAAGTCGACGTATAAAATATATTGCTCTTTATTTAAATGTTTTTTTTTTCCGCATTCCTTTCATAGACACAGATCCAGCAGACGAACTGTACATCTACTGTCCTAATATTACGAAAATATATTTCCTCAGACTTTTTTAGCTTCATTTATATACAGGGTCGCTGATAGTGATATGTATTGAAACTGTCGATTATTGGGCAAAGTATACGAGGTCTGCAAAAAGTTAAATACAAAAGTTATAGCGTTTTTAAATTCCTAACATCTTGTAATATATTTAAGTATACAGGGTCGGTCACAAAGTCGTGGCACCTCAATTTTATCGTCGTGTATAAAATAATATCTTTTCCATAGCAGAGTTACGTTTTAAAAATATTGTGCTGGGTTGGCGTTGGTTTCTATGTAATTTGACAAATAGATAAAGCTGTCTCTTTAGTTGTCAGTTTTGAGTCAATATTTTTTAATTCTCTTTCATGTCGATTGCTGATTGAATTGGAGCCTGAACTAGCTCGAAACGAAATAAGTAAATTACCAACAGATATTCAGGCTGAGGCGACAAACGCCATATCCAAACTACTTCCATTTAAATCCCGAATAACTTATGAAAAGGAATACAAAAATTTTTAAAAATGGAAGCAATTAAAAAACGTGCGAGAAGAAATAAAGTTTTTAAGTTGTTAAAGTACTATTTTATCTACTATTTTTGATAGATATAAGGCAATTTTAACGGTTTTAGACTCTATCCTTTACGTTGCACTTCTATACGTTTATCAGTCTCTGTTTTCTTTCCAGGCTCTCTGGGTTCGATGGGCGTCAGCGTTCCGTGCGGCACCGGTACCAACCCCCTGGAATGGACAGGACAAGTAACAGTCCGGAAAAAACGCAAACCCTACTCCAAGTTCCAAACCCTCGAGCTAGAGAAAGAGTTCCTTTTCAACGCGTACGTCTCCAAACAGAAACGATGGGAACTGGCGCGGAACCTGAACCTTACCGAGCGACAGGTCAAGATCTGGTTCCAGAACAGGCGGATGAAGAACAAGAAGAACTCGCAGAGACAGGCGGCGCAGCAGCAGAACAACAACAATTCCGCGACGAACAACCAGAATCACCATCACCATCCAGGACACCTACAGCACCATCTAGGGAGTCACCACGTTTCGGCGAATGGCGCGTTGAAACATCATCAGTGACCTATGGGGTTCTCTGGGGTCGTACTGGGTCACCCTGGTCACGGGCTGACCACCTGAATGTCCAAAGGAAATGTTCCGATAGAAAGAGGGACTTTTAGAAGGGTTGGTGTGTGTTTGATTGAGAAATGATCACGACCCTGGAAGGAGGCGCGTTGTAGTTAATGTTTGTAGTTCTTTGCGTTCGTGCCAAAGAATAAAAAAGGAAAGATGAGCTGATTTTTTTGGTAGATTTAACCCATTAGTTGCCTAAAATGTTAGAGGTTATTTGAGAATCTTCAGATTAATGTTTTTTTGTTTAATTTCATACTATTCTATGACAAAGCCTCGTTGACAAACATTTTGTTTTACACGGATAAAAGAAAATAATTTAGTTTAATGTTTTTATTACTTTTAATTTGAGCATAATATGTTAGATTTGTATATACTCAAGTAGATATCTGTTTTAAGAGTCAAAGCAAAGTAAGCGTTCGGCATTTAACGTTTTATGTAAAACTGGTTAGGTATTTTTACACAAATGAAGAAGGAAATTAAAGATAAAGGATTATGCTATATCGGTATTGTAGCACATTTTTAGATAACTTCTTTATTTTTAAGATTTTGATGGTCAAACATCAAGAAAATATTCCTTATGTTTGAACTAAATTTTCTCGAAAATAAAGTTATAATATAAAATTCTGTTACAATACGGAAATAGATTGAAGTTTTCTGATTACAGCGATATATAATTTATATGGTTTTGTAGCAAATTGCTCGCTATTTTATGGCAAATGCTGAAACTCTGCAAATCTTAGTCATTACTATTTACACTCATGTACTCTCAATCACTTATACTACACTCAAGGTTTTACTTGAAACGTTTTGACTGATACGGTAAGACGTAATGTGTGGACTCGGCTTAAGGTAAGTTCATTTACGAATTGAAATCAAAACAAAAAATATTTTAATCAAGGTGAATTATATATCAATTAACTATTACTAACCAATTTTCTATAGCCTTATTGCGAATTATTACAAATTTATAGGCAACATACACGACGTTATTTTTTTTTTGTAACTCCAATTACCTAGTGAAACATGATTTAAATTGAAATTATCCAGTTTTTTATAGCTCAAATTAAAGAGAATATTATATTTATATACCATTAAGACAATATTTGAATAATAGTTATTTCTAAACGTTCTCTAACCCAGTATAAGTATATATTATCAAAGAAAAACCTTTGAAGGCGGGTTAAATGACAAATAACTCACAATCTTTAAGTTGTTTAATTTAAATTTTAATGTTTAAAAAAGCAAGGGGGGCGACATGTTTCGGGAATTTAAACTATTTCCATCATCAGGCCCAAAAGACAAAAGTCAACCTAATAAGTATAACCACTCGGAAGAAATAAAATTAGTTAGAGCTGTTAACGTTTACACAACTCTCTCATTGTAATTATAAATTGTATAACTCTTTAAGAAGGAAGCCTTTAGTTGTAATACCAAATAAATGTCTATATCAAAATTTCCAGACCATCTTATTTCAATCTTATATTTTCATTATCACAGAAACATTCTTTTAAGACGAACTCGTCAAAACAACTTAAAGATTGTGAGTTATTTGTCCTTTTACCCGCCTTCAAAGGTTTTGCTTCGATAATAGTTATTTCTTTTAGTACTTGTAAAAATTGATGGTATTTTTTTGTTGAAAATTTGAATTGGGCAATCAATGGGTTAAATCAGTAAATGTAAATTGTTTCGACTTTTGGTATTAATTATATACCGGGTGGTGCATCTTTGCTGAAAACATAGGAAATCCCAAAAACATTTTAAACTGTCCAAATATTGGCTCCCTTATTAATTTTTCAGCCGTAGTAAATAGTTTTTTTAAAGGTCTGCCTATGCTAAATACACATACCAAAATTGAACAATTTTGGACAAGCCGATTTTCAGTAATTTTAGAAAAACTGCATCTATTTTTAGATTAAAATTAAACAAGTAAGAAAGTTGTTAACCTATGATTCTATCATTGTCAAATTTTGGCGGTGTTCTTACAACGGTCGCTCTCCAAAGCTTTTGACAATTTTAGAACGAGTCGGCTTTTTCCGGAATTATGTCGCCAAATATTATTCATTATGTTCAAAATATATTTATGAATTTCAATTACTTAAAATTAAGAAATTTCAAATTTTTTAAATGGTACACCCTATATATTATCACTTTTTTTGATAGACTTTACAAAACTCTTCAACTTTTATTAAGTATGTCATATACGTATTTTTAATAGTTTGCGATTTATTCCAATTTTTTCTATTTTTACCCCATATTTTTAATATAATTACCCTATATCAACATAGTTTCCATGACAAAAAGTAATAATTATCAAAATTTCTTGTCTGTTAAGCAAGTTAGGAACAAAATTTGAATTTTAGTTTAATTTGTTGTAATAAGATTATCGACAACCTTTATATTACTTATCTACAACCTTTATATTTAAATTTTTTTTGTAAACCTTGAAACAAATGAGATAATGGACTTTAGTCTATCGTTGACTCACCCTGTATATTAAGCATATGCAGACAATTAAAAAACCTATTTACTGCTGTAAAATTAACAGGGGAGACACTATCTGGACCGTTCAAAATTTGCATGCGATTTTCTTTGTTTCCAATGACGGTATATGAATTATATGTTTTTTTTAATCTTTTTGATTACAGTTGGGGGTGTTGGAACCTTTGGTGTTTACAACAGCAAAATAAAACACCAACTCACCACAATAACCAAATGGTGAATGAGTGTTTTATTTTGCTCCCTTGTGATTTGGTTGGTTTCAAAATTGTTTCAAAACAAAAACAAGAGTCGAAACAAACGTCAAACTAATAGTTCGAAAACAAACAGACCTAGATAGAAACATTTGACAGGGCTTGTGCAACTTTCGAGGATAATACGTGCGAAGCACATAACTTTTTCCAATCTGAGTAGTTTTAAAATTATGTTTAGTAGAATTTAGGTGGATATATGATGAATGGTCGAAAGTATATGTGGAAAGGACGCATGCTCTTAAGCTTATATTAAGTTGTTTTTTTTTTTAATTCACGTTCTGCGGTAAAGAATTGTGAAATATTGTTGGGGAATATTGGTAATAACATTTCAGCCATCGATATTTTTTTTATAATTTAAAAAAGATTTTTTTTCTTCAAAAAAAGTCGCTTGTACTCTAAGAAAATCTACAAAATAAAATAGTTATTTGTTTATTAAGTAATTGTTAATTTTGAAAATTTAACTTGATATAATGTCATTTTAACACAGATGAATCCGCCACTGAGTTATACAGGGTGTCCTAGAAATAAGTGCAAGTATTTTAAGTGGTGGTAGATCTTGATAAAAGAAACATATTTTCTCTTTATCGTTTTTCAAATAAGTCCAAAATAACGGAGTAATTTTACTTTGAAAATTTCTAAAAAAATGATTTTTTTGCTAAAATTTCGAGAACCACTGGATCTTTTCTGGATTTTCTTTGTTGTAAATTTAATCTAATACCTTTTTTGTCATATTATCAAGAAATTATGGTTTTTAACTAAAAACTAAAAAAAATTTTGAAAAAAAATTTTTCGCGAAATGAACCTCATAGGCGTGTTTCTGGGGTTGAACTCTACAACCAGTTAAAATACTTGCACTTATTTCTGGGACACCTTGTATAATACCTTTCTGTTTTATAAATTGTATACTTTTAACCTTAATGAGTCCAAAAATCATTTTTTTTTTTAATTTAGAATTATAATATGAACCTGAAATCTTATTACCAACTCCCAAAACTTTTTGTTGTTACTTGTTTAATTTTTTTAATCAGTGCAATTTTATTTTTGTACATTCATTTGTAATTCTCCCTGTTACTGAATTAAATTGTTATATCAATTAATTTTGAAATACTGTTTTATTACGATTATTTTTTTTATATAATAGAAAATTTTTAAATTGTAAGTATACCGGGTATGTCTCAAAAGTATCTCACCCCTATAACTTTTTTATTTTTTCAGATAAAAAAACGAGATTTGGTATGTTAGTATATGACATAAATTAGGATTGACTGACGTATTCAATTGTATACTCCCTCGGTATATTTTCAATTTATTCGATAGAAAATGACACTCTGAATAGAATGACATATCATATGTCAAATTTCGGGTGTAATTGTCGTTATGAACAGCATGTTTCAAATAAACCATATGCGAAAATGTCAAAAGATGGCATATGATATGTTATTTTATTCAGAGGGTCATTTAAAAATCAAAAGTTATAGTCATTTCCGGTGAAACAGGAAGTGATCAAAAACAGTTGAATACGTCAGTCAATCCTAATTTATGTCATATACTAACATACCAAATCTCGTTTTTTTTAATTGAAAAAATAAAAAAGTTATAGATGTGAGGTATTTTTGAGACGCACCCGGTATTCTCAAGTCAAAGTATTAATTGCTGTCAAGATATTTGTCTGATGGATGTAAACAAAACCGGAAAATGAACGTAGATATTAAGACTTAATTTGTAAATATTGTCAACTGTCAAATTTGTCGTTTTCTATAGATCGTAACTAATTGGTATGTTAAAATGTAATCAGTGTTGCCTATATAGTCTAAATGTATAGTAAATTATTAAAGGTATAGACCCGCTTAGATATCGTCTGCCATATTGTCTTTTTTTGTTATTTAAGTTTTTCAATGATTCCTTCTTTCCTTCCTCTACTCAAATTGTAAATATTATTTCTTAGGTACCTGTATATCCTAGCTTACTGTATACGGTTTTCGACTCTACCATCAGTTATATTCATGTTAAATGTAAATATACAGTGTTACACAAGGAAAATAATTAATTGAAAAAAAATGTCAAAATTTGCTTATTTTTTTTTGTGCGACACTGTATATTATACGTTGTTACTGTCCACTATAATGAATATAAAAAGTATATTGTTCAAAAAATTAAAATAAATTATGTTTTTTTTGACTAGACAGCGCATGTTTTTTTTGAAATTTGTTATTTTTACTGCTTTGGTGTTTATTGCCAAGAAATTAATTGTAATATATTTAATAAATATAGAAGAAGAAAAATGGAAACTTCTCTAGGAACCCGAATTTTATTGTAACTATAAACTTATATACCTACTAACCGAACCTTAAGATAGAACTTTTGTCTGAATTTCTTCGATAAGTGAGGAAAAAAGATTTTTATTAAAATTTAGCATTAAGTGTTTTTACTTTTTTTTTAATAAATTATTTTTTAATGTTTTTATTTTTTATTTGTTATTGAGGGTGGTTCGGGAATCTTTTCTACCATATTTTGCAGATAGAAATAAGTAAAAATGTTTGTATAAACTTATGTCCAAAAATGCTTCGTGTCGTAGATACAGGGTGTAGAAGTTTCGTTTTCATTTCGATTTTTTCCAAATAATTTCTGAGTTGTTTCAGTCAAATAACCATCTATTCAACATGTTTATTTTTTGTTAATAATGACATGTATTGACTATTTCCATCCTATATATCTTGAG